CTGAAATCGTTCAAAAATTTCTATGTTGGATTTGCTCGAGGTCCCCCAAAGTTGAATTCCGTATGTCCAAATTGGTTTGATCATAACTTTATACAGTAAAATTTTGTTAGCCAATGATAATTTTGAATTCGTACCTAGTAGCCAATTGAGTTTAGGAAGTTTTAATTCCATTTGCTGTCTCTTGCACCAGATATGAGATTTCCAATTTAATTTTTTGTCAAGAGTTAGACCTAAATATTTTACACTGTCTGCCTCCGTTAAGGCTACATTATTAATGGTTACTGGAGGAATGTACCCTGTTCTCAGAGTATATCTATTATACTGAGTCTGTTCTATTTTTGTGAAATGCTGTAATAATATTTTACTGGGAATAATTCGTTTTAAAAGATATCATTCATCATATCGTTTATCTATGGTACTATATCGTTGCCCTATCAACCTAGGCCCTTTTCCTGAGTGTTATGAGGTTTATGTTTTGATTTATTTTTGTGTAAACCGTAATATAATCCCCCTGCCACAGCAAATCTGTAGACTGAATTTCCATTTGCCTGATTATATAATTTCACTAAAATATGTTAGAAAATTACTCTATTTTCCATATTTATTTATATTTTCCTATTTTTCTATTTGTCAGTTTGGAACTATTGTGATTGCTTTATGTTTATTGTGCAAACCATGGATATATGGATGTATGGATGGATGGATGGATGTTTGTGACAAGCAAACGCGAAAAATACTAAACCGACAAGGTTGAAATTTGGTATGATGATAGATGACATCCCCGATTAACATATTCTTACCTCAAAAATTCTTTCAGTCTCCGCCCCGGTGGTTCTGGCTGGCTCTGGACTTTCTCATGTTAACCTTATGAGTATTCATATTTAAAGAAATTAAAGAATTTTGTCAGCCGTTTCAACTGTACAAGTTGGTTCTATGATATTAAACAGCATTAAAAAGTTATAAGGCTTGCCAAACAGGGTGCAGCACTATTATGTTGTTTGTTTAGATTAATGACCACAGCTAATTTGAACCAACTAGCAAAAAAAGTTGTGGTACACAATGAGAACTTTACTTTTTTCCATGGTTTAGGTGCAGTGGTAGAACATCAGGACTATGGTAGATGTGTGCTACACTATAGGATACCGTATAAATTAAAAGACAATTTTTTTTTAAATCGTGTCCTCTCCCATAACTGCAATAAGCATTTATACTTAGGCCTATATGCCAACCCCGTACGAAGGACGGGTACTCTGCTAGTAACATAATAATACAAATACAGTATACTAATACAATAATACTGTAGGTTTCCGTAGTCTGTGGCCATAGGTTCGTCTGAACTGTCAATAAATTCTGAGAAATTCACTGTTGTAAATTCTTACTAGTCTTTTTCTAAGTTCACGTTGCACTCGCAATTAGTTCGGATATTTTATCTAGGAAAGCAGGTATGCCCTAAGTCATAGCATTTGTAGGTTAAGTATAATAATAACAAAAATGCTTATCTTAGGTTTGTAGGCATACTTGTTCAAGAATATGCCGTTGTAGGTTTTGTTTGAAAATTTTATTTTTTAATTCTTGTCTAATGACGATATTGATTTGTATTTGTGCGAAAATGTTAATTTATTTGTCAAGGGCATGAGCGGCCCTCTAGTTTATGTATGTTACATGAAGCGCAACATGAAAAAGAATAAATTAAAGGAAGGTAAAAAACGGATCAGTTGCTGAAGGTCTAAATCTCGGAAGGTCTAATCAGACCTTCGACACACATTTTGCAGTTTGTATGTGGTTTGTACTTTATGCTGAGGATCCCATGAATCCTGTACAAAACAAAAAAAAGGTTTCATTCAAACTACAAGTTTATTACTTTTCCGAGAACCAGCCTTTATCAGGACTTCCGCTCCCACGCTTGTTGGCAACATCAACTGTGCTATATGAAAACAATAAATCTTGAGTAAATATACTGTAATGATGAATTTTGAGGCTGTGATGTTCCTTCATAAACACATTCAATTATAATCTAGGAATATGTAAATGTATTGTTATACGTTACCTTTATTGATATTCGATTTGCTACAGTACTATTAAAACCTATAACATTTTCAATTCATGTGCGTTGTATTTTTGAGTTGGGGAAACAAAAGAACCCTGTGTACAACTTATTTATATGATATTCTCAATGGTTGCAATTTCAATGAAATAAATTTAAATTTTGGTTTTTTTTTTGTTGCAGTGGTGTAGCAAAACACAAAGACAAAATTTATTGAAATAAAATTAAGTCAATGTTAAGTGAATACTATTAATAAACATATTTGTGACATAAGAACATTTAATTGAAGCCTAAAAACAGTTCGAAAAAGGCATTCTATTCTTTATACTAGTAAAAATTAAAATGAGGGTATAAAAAATAGTTTTCAAAGATCATGTTGATCAATGTACATTCATCTAGTCTTGAAAAAATAAGTATTTTAAAACTTACTCCAAACATAATGAAGTTTATCGGTTGTTAACAAAATGTCATCATTTTTCAATTCATGTAAACCTTATAGTTTTCCAACTGTTGCTTTGTTTATTTTTTCTTTTTATGTTTTTTTTTTACTTTATGATGTTTCACTTAATGGTACAAATATTCATAGTATATATATTTCTAAACAAGAACATACCCATGTATATATAACTAATAAAGGTTCCATAAGCATTTTACACGAGAGAACACTGTTCGGCAAGTAGCCGGTCATCGTAACCGGTCATCATGAAGGAGCTTGGACGTCGTGCAACAGCGCTGAGCTAAATTGGACGTCGTGCAACAGTCAAATATTTATTGGACGTCGTGGCACTTGGACGTCGTGCAACTGGCAGCGACTTTGGATGTCGTGCAAATGTTACTTTTTTACAATCCTATAGGGCGCTGTTTCACGACGTCCAAGTGCCACGACGTCCAAAGCTTGTAGAAAGACTATATTTTTGGCAGTTACTGTACTCTTGGACGTCGTGGCACTTGGACGTCGTGCAACAACTCAAAAATTATGTTTTGGACGTCGTGGCACTGAATAAATATTATTGGACGTCGTGGCACTTGGACGTCGTGCAATGCATCCAACCAATTGACATGTTTTTGGTGTCATTGGAAAGAGCGTAACGTGAAGTTGTGCAGGAAACTTTCTTTTTAAGGAAATAATTAGAGAGTGAGGCCCCGGGGCCCTTTAAAGTTTCGTATTTATCCATAAGATTAACATGGGAAACAAAATTTGTTATGGAACTCCAGCTGTTGTCAGAAATAAAGAGTGAAATATTTATTGATAGTATCCATGGTAACAAAGAACAAACCCACAAAATTTAAAAATGTAAACAAGCAGAACTAACTGTCAAACTAATTTTGATTTCATAATTCCACACAGCTGGTTCAAACATATTAAATACTGCATGATTATTAGAACAGGAACAGTAGGGATCATAAACATTAATAAAATATGTCACTCGCCCGAATCATTTTTGTCTATGCCCGAATTTAAACATTTAACATTGATTAAATGGAACTGTCGAAATATGTTAATGTCATTAGTATGGAATTCTTTCAGTTACATCATTTGTTGATCGAGTTTGTTTCAATATTTTTGAACTGCTGTAATAATATTTTACACGAAATAATTGTTAGATAAATTCATGGATATAAGTAATAATTCAGATTCTTCAATCTTTGCTGTTATTAAAATTTTGTATCCGCAGGAAACCTTCAGACTAAGCGAATTTCCATTTACCTGGCTTAATACAAAGATATTCCCTGAAAATGGTATTTTTTTCCTATTTAAAAAAAATTAAGTTAATTTTAATATGAGTACTTAGGTTTGCTGCTACAGGGAAGGTAGGTGTGTTTTTGTTGAAATGTTGATAGCTAAGTATGATTGTTATTGGTTTGCAAATCCTGTAATACTTTACAATTGCTCGAATTCGAGCAACATGTACACTAGTTTTCTAAAAAGGTTCAGTTATTCACAACAAACAACATCAGTGACAGGAAAAATAAATCCAAACATGACTAGAGAAGCAATGCAGCGATAAAACATGACATAAACTATGAGAACAATTACAATGGAAACATCCAATGATAGTAACAATATGTAATAACTATACGATGAAAAACTAACAAATACCCCCGCTGCAGCAAACCTGCAGACTAAGCGAATTTCCATTAACCTGATTGGATTTACACTAAAATGCCTCCATAAAAATAGCACATTTATTTCCTATTTAAATAGAATAAGTTTAACGAGTACTTAGGTTTGCTGCAACAGGGAGGGTAAAAAAGATTTTTTTAATAAATTGATAATAGTTTAGTAAGAAATAAAAGTATTTTCCAAAATCGATCAAAATATGTTCATAAACAAGCAAACTACAACAGTTGACTTATTCTCCATAAGAATAACATGGGAATTTCAAAATTACAATTTTTTGAATTTTCTCCGTAACAAATAGGCGCATAATAACACTTCAATGTACTAAATTGTTTGTTTTTTTAAGCTCTACAAAATGGTTTAAAAAGAAATTGTGAAATTTTGTGTTTTTAGGGTCAAAAATGGGAAAAACCTATTTTTACCCCATAAAACCCCCCATAAACCCCCGTTCCCATAGTCCGATCATGCTGGTTCGCGAACTCATTCAAGTTTATCCCGCATTACACCTTCAAACCAAATTTTATCAAAATCGGACAAAAATTACTCAAGTTATCGTGCGGATGGACACACATATATATATATATCTCTATATATAGATATATAAAAATTTGAACGAATGGTGTTTTTGACCTCTGGGGACATCAAAATGAAAAAGTAAATCGGTCCCGGGCTTAGGTCTTACCATGAGACCTACGGTAATAGCTACTTCCCTATAGGGAAATTCGCTAAAAAAACAGAAACAATGATGTAAAACTTGACAATGACAATGGCGACATCCAATGACAACAGTAACAATAGATAGCTCAACCATGGCAAAATAAACAAAAAACAAAAATGGAGGTGTGAAAATTAACAAATACCAATTGTGAGTTATTGCAATGCGAGTGTAAGGTGGTCCTAAGAAAATTGAATTGCAAGTACTTTGGTGATCTTTCAGTTGATGCCTGGTATGACATCAAATTAAGGTTAGCTTTCTGTTGAAATTTAGCATTGATAATATAGAATTCATTATACATTTTTCAGGTCATCAAAGAACTAGAGACAGCTGGTGCAATCTTTCGAGTTGTAGCTTTATCTGCTACCCCAGGATCAAATATTAAAGCTGTGGTTGAAGTAAGTAATCATTTTTTTACTGTACAATTTTACCATAATACAAGCTGCTATACCCGTGCTTTGCAACGGGAAGAAAATGTTACCTAGAGAGCTATTAAAATGGTGCTGATGTGCGTTTTAAAATACAGCAACTCTATGATTTAGTTTGAAAATATAAACTGATTTAAAAGCGTAACCCTATTTACTTTCAAACCCCTACTTTTGATGTTAATAGATCCATAAGAATATGACAACATACCTTAGTGTAGCATTGCATCAATAATTGAAGCAATTATTGCTTCATATTGATGACTCATGAATGACATGTTTTACCATAATTCTTCAATAGTCAACCCTCTTCACATGTAGCTTACTATATAAATTAAAAAATGAAACTTTGAGCAATACTTAACAAAACGTATACAACCTCACTTTAAAACCAAACATAACCCTCCTCAATCTACATAAAGCATCACAAACATCTATTTCGAGTAAATAAACAAACACCTGTTCATTGTACTGACCAGCTGTTTCATTAACTAAATTAAATTAAATCATTTAAACATTGGAAGCATGCCAGGCGTAGCTCTTTAGAAATCAGCCTGTAGGGCAGAACCCTTAGGAAATTTGTTGATGTCAATACTTTTCGGCAAATCTACACACTCTAAGCTTCATTTTGATATGCCATATGCCTATATTTTTATTTGGTAAATGACCTTAACCGTTTACATAAAATTTGATTGTATCACTTTAATAATATAATATACTAGGTGAGACCCGTCGAAATCGACGGTTACTTTCAATGCTTACGTTAATTCATCTAACTGCGATACATTGGGTGAAATATACATATTTTATGCATTTAGCATAGTTTAAAATGTAATAAGTGTAAAAACAATAATGATATTAATTGCGTTAGTTGCCAAATTTGGTTGATCATTCAATGGATAAAATATTCCACATACCGTACGTCATCGGAGTTATTATTAGTATGTTATCTGGTATCTCTTCCTTTGGAAGAACCTTTAAATAGTATTAAAATCGTATTGGTGGATCTTTTGTAGTTAAACACTTCCGTGATTTCATCAGTGTAATATGATTTTATTTGAAAAGAAAATATTTTTTGGGAAGACATATTCTAATTTCAAAGGGAGGTATATCCGTTACAGTGTAAGTTTGATTTTTCTTTCGTCACGTCGCGTCAGTTCATATAGTACTACTGTGCCAATGAATGAACCCTCTAGCATACTTTTGAGAAATTTATTTTCTGGAATTCCTTGACATGGGGGATGTCAGTTAGTTGTCTCAGCCTTATCAATAACATAAAGTTGTCAATATAATCTCTCTACGGAATGTTAGGTGTAGTGGAATACTTGAAGTGAAGTTGGATTTTATTCTTGGACTGTTAGGGGCCTCCTAGTTCATACGGCCTTTCGGCTTCATTGACAACAAATAATGCAAATGACATAGCAATGGGACATTTCCAAAAAGCAAAAATACTGTAAATTGGCTGTTACGTATATATTGGCGTTTACATATTGTTAATCAACGTATCTTATAAAGGATTATGTGATCTAGTTTAAAAGGAATTTGACCTTTCTGTCATGACAGTAGCTGCTTAAATAGTCATCACTCATTGGGCCATTTTTTACAGCCAAAATGTCGTGTCATTTTCAATAATGTTACCAACCCGTAATGCTAAAGTCCGTAATATAGACAGGTGCAAATAATTTGTCAAGATGGGTACCATTTTAGGCAAGGTTTCTATGTTTGGATTTTATTAGACACGATTAGAGCAAATATTTCTATATAAATATTTGATATGTGTAGAATAATACATCCATGTTGGCAAAAGTGGTGAAAAAGGTTTTTAAGTAGTACACCATAGGTGGGCCGGACAGATAGCGAACTGCACAAGGATTTGTTGCGCATCTAAGAGGAGGTTGCTTTCCAAGCGGCCGACCTATAGTTAGTTTTTAGTAGTTTTAGACTTCTGAAGGAGTCCATCATCAGTTGTGATAAAAACATCAGGTAATTTATCCGATTTGGCTAGATACGTCGTTGACATTGAAAACAAACATATACACCCATGTATGATTATAAAGTGGTGTAACAGTTGAGAGATAAATAAATAAACTCACATAACACAATCACACGACAAAAATACAGAAAACGATTATAATACTGTAAAAACTGGCCAGTCTTATCACTGGGGACACATGCAGTTACGCCGGTAGCCAAATCTGATAGATGACCTGATGTTTATTTATCACACTTGATGATGGACTCCTCCAGAAGTCCGAACCTATAGCAGTGTGCTACTAAAATAGCATATTTCCTATATAGGAAGTTCGCTAAAAGGATCACTCGACAAAGCAATGTAACCTAAACCATTTAGCAAAATAAAATAACCGTACAACTTTAGCTTCACTAAATTGTATTGAGGCATCTTCACGCTTGAGAGTTTATTGAATTAATGCTGAGTGGTAAAAACAGTGAGATTACTTCTAACTTCCAGCTTTGTATCTAGGCCTCTTATGTTGGGTTACACCCTTATGTATTGGGAATATTAGTGCCCAGTTACTCATCCTATTTGTTCAAGCGTTTGCCTGTTTGTTTGATTATTCTAACATACAATTTGTGTTCATAATCAATGAGGCTATTCTGTTATGTTATGTTTACCGATCACCACTCTGTCCGCAGGTTGTACAGAATCTGAGGATCGCAATGTTGGAGCTACGAGGGGAAAATTCGACCGATGTCACTCCGTACACACACGCTAAACAAGTTGAACCCATCTCTCTCACTCTCTCTAAGAACATCATAGATTTCCGAGAGCAATACTTACTTGTGAGTATCCCTGTGTGTTACTCAAAATATGTAATATTTAAATTTATGTTTTTAATGTGAGTTTAAGAGGAGACAAAACACTGGGAACACGGTTTAGAATTTATTTGTTATAATCTATATAATTAATACGCTACATGAAACTTTGTCGGTTGAACTCCTCTGCCATTTCTTAACCGATTTTATCCATTGACGTCTCATTGGAAAGAGCGTGTCGGGTAGACGTGCAAACTGGCCTTACATTTTTGAAAACGTCTCTTGGGCTCTTTCCCAGTGGCTTTTAAAGTTCCCATGTTATCCTTATGAGGAACATAATTGTTCATATTTTGATCAGCTGTATTATTTAATTGCTGTTATTTATTTTTCAATTCAACAAAACGCATTCGGTACATTTAATTTACTGATTTTTAAAAATTAAATATTTACTATTTTAATTTATATTTGTATATATTACAATGTAAAAAATCGAGAAAGCCTGGGCAATTTGATATATTTTTCCAAATAAGAAAAACTAATTGACAGGGTACTGTAATTCTTGAGCAATCATTGATAGAACCGATTTGTTAACCATGGAAACCATAGGAAAGTAATAGAACGCCACCAAGTAGAAGAAATAGAGATAAAAAAAATACTATCGTTATCATCCTATATAATGAAGAACACCTACAATATGAAGATTCCCACAAACAATGAACAAGGATGCTAGCCGAAGTGCCACTATTTTGTAGGAAACACGGACTTAATTTTATGATGATTAGGTTAGGTACATAATCTATGAGTTGAGTCTTTTAAACTCATCGGAAATTGTGACTTTTATTCGTTTTTAAATAACTTATTTGTTTTTAAACAACTTTTTACTTCTTTGCAATTGCTCGATTTCGAGCAACATGTACACTAGTATTGACTGACGCATTACAGTAGACTCCCTCTCGTTCGGCCTCGGTTGGTTCGGCCTCCGGATGGTTCGGCCGGCCGCCTGGATAGAGTTTTTTTAAATTGTGTATCTATAAAACAGAAGCAGATAAGAATCTGACTTCCGTTTTAGCTCTAGTTCACTGCACACGTGTTCACTGTTCAGTACAGTACCGGACGTTCGTGTGTGTACATTAGTTGTTGTGACTTTGCTTAGTGAACTGATTTAATTGTGTTTTGTTAACTGAACTTTAACTTATAAGTGACTGTACGTACTTTACATTATTATGAGTGCTAAACGAAAACGTACATTTGTGACAATGCAACAGCGGTTGCAAGCTCTAGAAAGAATAGACAAAGGTGAATCGGTCCAAAGTATTTGTACAGATTTGGGGGTTGGTAAAAGCACCGTGAATGACTGGCGTCGAAACCGAAAATCGATCGAGGATTTTTGTACGCAGATTGAATCGGAAAAAGCTCTTTCATCACGTTGCACTTTAAAAAAACCTAAAAATGAATTGGTGAACGATGCTCTTTGGGTGTGGTTTATGCAGGAACGAAGAAGGGGAACGCCGATCAGTGGCCCTATCTTAAAGGAGAAGGCGGTTATCTTACATGGGAAACTTGGTGAGGAGGGGGAATTCGTCGCAAGTGAGGGATGGCTTTCCCGTTGGAAAAAAAGACACGGGGTACATTTTCTTGGGGTGTGTGGCGAAAAACTGTCGGCAGACCCTGCTGGTGCAGCTGAGTTTACAAAGAAATTTGAGCAAATTATTGCTGAGAATAACCTAAGCCCGGAACAGGTTTATAATATCGATGAAACAGGGCTGTACTATAAACTCTTGCCACGGAAAACATTTGCTGCAGCAACAGAAATGTCTGCCTCTGGGTTTAAGGTCAGTAAAGATAGGATCACAGTGGCACTTTGCTCCAATGCTTCGGGTACGCATAAATTGCCCCTTTTTGTTATCGGAAAATCAGCAAAACCGAGAGCATTCAAAAACTTGGACGTATCAAAACTACCAGTGTACTACCGGGCTCAGAAGTCTGCTTGGATGGACTCGTATTTGTTTAAAGAGTGGTTTATTAGTGAGTTCGTGCCTAAAGTAAAAAGTCGTTTGATGAGTTTAAAACTCCCTGTAAACGCACTTCTTGTTCTTGACAATGCGCCTACCCATCCGGATGAGTTAGAATGTGATGGTGAGTCTGGAATAAAACTGTACTATCTGCCCCCCAACGTAACAAGCCTCCAACAGCCAATGGACCAAGGGGTAATAGAGTGCTTCAAGAGAAAGTATCGTCGAAAGCTTCTTTCAGAAGTTTTGTACAAACTGGATAGCGACGAAAACACCGATCTTATCCAAGTTTTAAAGACAATCAACATGAAGGACGTGATTTTCATGGTAGCGAAGGCCTATGACGAAGTACAACCTTCAACATTAGTTAAGTCGTGGAGAAAGGTATGGCCGAATGTTGAAGAAGTTGTTGCAAGTGAATGCAATGTTGTTGATGTGCACAGCCTTGAAAGTGAAGCAGACGACCAAGCTTACATCCTAAATAATTTACAGCAATTGCCTCACAGTGAAAATGTTGAGCTTGAAGATGTTTTGGAGTGGGTAACTGTCGAAAAGGAGGTGGACAATGAAATTTTGAACGACGAAGAAATCGCTCAATCAGTTTTACAGCGTCAAGAAACCCAAGAAGGAGAAGAAGAAGAAGGTGGCGACCGTGATGAGGACGACGAGTGTAAAATGAGTCACGCAGAGGGAATGGCAGCCCTGCAACTGGCTACAACCTACATCGAACAGCAGACGAGTTCTACAGCAGTTGACTTAATGCTTTTTAGAAAATGGCGTGACTATGCTAGAAAGAAATCAACTGAAGAAAAGGTACAGCGAAAAATTACTGATTTCTTTTAAACTTTGTCATTACAGTGCAGTACTGTAGTTTAAACATCATTCCTGTAAAATTTCAGTGTTGTGTGGATTCTTTTTTATTGTATTTAGGCCTACATTATTTATGTTTATTGTGTGTGAAATAAATGAATAATGTCAGCAGGCCCACTTTTATAAATGGGCAGACTGGGCATATGCCCAGGGGCGCCGGTGGTTTGGGGGGCGCCCTGAACCACCGCCCGCACTAGGAAAAATAGGGTTTTATCAGCCGGGATTTCAAAAATAAAATGGGTGATTTCAACTTGTAGTTAAGTGATTTTCCCTTATTGCAAAAGTAAATAAATACAACAAAATTGAAAATACTCGACCTTCAGATTATACCTCGTGTAGTCAGGGAAAGTCAGGCAGCAGTGTGAACCAGGCCCCACTAACTGCCTCACTATACTATTAGAGGCAGGGAGGCCTGCATGGTGGAAGGAAAATACATAGGTGTGCTATTCCCATCATATGCTGACGTCACTCAGATTGCAAACACCATTTTACCATTGATAAAATTATAAAAACACTAACAATCAAATCAAAACAAACATACACTTATATGGCAATACAAATACATCAGCTGATTTTTTGTTTGCAATTTGGGTGACTTCAGCAAATTACGGGAATAGCATGTAGGCCAGCTGTAGTCTACAGGCCTATGGTTCACGTGCCCCTCCTCTCCATCCCAGTCCCACCCCCATCCCCACAAGTCACAACCACCGCGCGGCACCAGTCCAGTACAGTACTCCTCCCTCAGTAGTCAGTAGGTTGTGTTCGTGTTGTGCCTGCTGCACAGTCGTCAAATCAGTTACAACACAACCTAAACTGTGACAGTCACTAGTCAGTGTTGACACTCACACTACAGTTAGTGAACCAGTAATAAATATATAGAGAAGTGTTAATAAAGTAAGTAGGCCTATAATCATTTAAAAATGCATAAAAAACCTAGTGGAGCCAAGAGCCGCAAGCGGTTGGCTCAAAGAAAACAAACTCAAGAAGCAGTTTTAAAGAACGTAAAATGTATTAACCATTATTTCCATTGATACGGAATTGAAAACTCCCTCCCAAAACAAAACTGGTAAAAAAAACACGCCAATGTATAAATATATTATATGCATAGGCCTATAGTAGAACCATGGAAAAAACATACTCCAGAAGAATCTCGTTCAATACGTTTGTAATGCAATGAACTGTATCAATCAATTATCAATCAATTATCAATTAGTTAAGATGGGGACGCCACTATGTGCGTATTTTAACCCAAATATGAGTGAAGGATGAGTGTAGGATGAGTGGCGCGATCTTGTAGTCTTGTTAGTGACTAAGGCCGACATATTCCTTAGACACAGCTGTTAATTAATAGCCCATACAGCTAATGGCAACTAAGGGACCTACAGTTTATAGTGGAATCCGAACCACATTTTTCCTTGTAATTTACGAATTGGTCTAATTATCAGGATAGAACTGCGGATAGTCGTAGTACTCACTAGTGCGGACGTTAATCCACACCAGGGAGCATCGCATCCACAGTGCATCCCTATAAATATCCACAATTCGTGACCTCCTAGTAGCTGGATTATAGGACGACGCCACCCGTCCCAGTCTGTACTGTACTGAACAGTAATCAAATCACTGCGTAGTGCATTAAGCTATTGGCGCAGGGCAAGAGGCATTCGCATAGCAACTACTGTTCATTGCACTCACCCCAACCCCCAACCCACCTGCAGTGAATTTCGGCGAACTAATGAGTCAACCCCCCTTCCCTCTTCCCCTCTCTACACTGCTGTGGTCAAAACCTTTATAGTTATATGTATATATATAAGGGGGGGCGCTGCTTTTGGGTTTGCCCAGGGCGCCACTGACCCTTAACGCGGCCCTGAATGTCAGTACAGTGTCAAGTGTTCAGTACGTGTTTTCATTAAACAATACCAACATTTCTGAGGGTAAGTTTAAAATCTACACTTAGCCTAAGCCTAGTCTTATTAATTAGGTTTAGTTTAGTGTATAGATCCCTTATACTGTACAGTAAGTCCATTTACGGCAGAAAAAGTAGTCTTCTTTATATATCATCGGTTAGTTCGGCCATTTTTTAGTTCGGCCGGTGGTTCGGTCTCGAGATGGCCGAACGAGAGGGAGTCTACAGTACTAATTCATAACAAATTACGCAGAATCTGATTCTAATAATAAAAAAAATTGTTTTGTTTCAGATCTTTGAACGTTATGCGAAAAGCTTGAGAGAATCTCGTCTAATAACGTGTAATGTTTTGAACATCACAAAGTTTCAGGTGAGATATTATGATTAATGTAATTAGCAAACATAATTATTATTGTTTTACCAACCTTACTGTCTTGCTTACATCATTGTTTAAAATATTTATTCTGAACTGTCTTATTATATCACATACACAAGAGATTGTGTTTGTGCAAAATATACTTGGTCCAAGAGGTCCCTGCTAGACAATTGTTTAGATACATCACCCATTGTGTTGTATCACATTTCATCAAGCCTTTTACAATACTTCATAGTCGTACTTATTTATATAGTACTATATACCCCCTTTATTTACCCCACCACAGTCAAATTTTGGTCGAGTATATATTCCATCCCCCTGTTAAATTTGTAGCTAAGCCTAGTTGTAGAAAAAGAAAATAACAAGAATACTTGGTTAAATTGAACCACAGCACCATACTACAGTCTCAGCTTCCTGGTCTGAAACTGGGGGATTGTGGGAGAGCCCCTCAAGTTGATTTAAGACAATTTGTAAAATTAATGTTAAAATAATGTAATCATTTTTTAATTATAAAATTTACTTTTTAATTATAAAATTAAACTGTCATAACCTAACCTAACCAACCTAACTTGCTGATAATATAAAAAAAAGATACAAGATAATAATGTAATGAAGGCTTACTAATAAACAAATTAGTTCTGTTCATAAACTAAAATTAAAAATGCTTCAAATTCTAACAAAAGATGTATAGTTAAGAAAGTAATCACATTCTAAGCCAAATCTTTGACAATGGTGGGATTCCATCCGGATACCTAATGGACATCAGTCGAGTACGCTAACCACTATGCCCCGAACACCGATGGCTTCACTTCGTATCGTGTTGGTAATGGTGTTCCCTCAAGAGAAGAGTGACGTCACGCCCCCCCACTCCTTCGCTAAAGAGGTTCTCATTAGTTTCTAACCAGGAACACGAGACTCTATACCGGCACCATGTGCAGCTGTTTTCTTTCTTACACCAGCATTCTATTCGTTCAAAACAAAAATGGCTTATATACCTAAAAACTTAAAGTAGAAATAGCATCCACTTATTTTCTTTTGATTTCATCTTAGGTTGTGAGAGTTTTTGTATGATACATTGACAACCTACCTAAAAAGAATTTCCCTTACTGTTACTATGAATGTAGTACTAACTATCTAACCTTTAATAGAATTCCTGAAAATGTATTGAATTTCCTCATAGCTGTTGAAAGCAAGTGAGAAGATGCGTTCACGGCCTCCTAATGGGATGAACAAAGCCAGGGTAGGAGCCATGATGTCTGACTTCACTGTCTGTATGACACTGGCCCATGGACTAGAGTTGATACAGACCTACGGGCTGCGGGCCTTCTATCAGTACTTCACTGGTAAGTCATCAAACAAGGATAAAATGTCTTTGTCTTGATTACAAACGATGCTCATTTATAAACTGTTATGGGGCAACTCATGTCAAAATTATGTGACATAAATGCCTTGAGTGAATATAACTATTTTCTCAATAGGCCTAGCCTGTTTTGAGAGAATAGTAAGTGTTCCTAGAACCAGCCATACTCTAATTTCTTCCTTGAAGTGCTCAGGAGCCGATAAAATCCAGAGGTCGATACTGAAGATGGTCCATGGCTTTAACTAACCAATTTTGTAATATTGAGGGCTTAGAGTTCAAGGAGCGCTCAGGAAATCCTGTATGCGCTCAAGTACAGCTATATTATACTCACCCCTGCAAAAGTGTTATTGAGAATTCTTTGGGCCTGATGAGAATTTTTCCTAATTTGAAGAATTTAAATTACTTTCCCTTAAAGTGTTTTTTGTCTCAAACACAAAATGCCACTGGTGTTGAAAATAACAATAATAAAAATAATAAATTGGAATATAAGGAGTAAGTATGATTCATTTATAAAATTTCTTGTACTTTTTATTAGCAGAGCAGTTTTTAATTTTTAGTGAGGATTCAAATGTTGTTTCTTCACTCAGTAAGTTCTCTCTTATAAAAAAAGTTGAAATAATGCAGATGTATTGTTTATTTAAAGTAGATAGTTGTATTTTTAAGACAAAATTATATCTGTGAAATACATTTTTTTCAGCTGGTGAAGACGAGGAAAATCGGAAAGCAACTTTTACAAGATTGAGCAGCGACGGAGATTTCCAGATTTTTATGAATAACTTACACAAGGCGGTCTCTGCCCCAATGGTGATTATTGCTTTTGAACATAAATTTATATTGCAATGACAGTTTCTTCAAGTGTCAATTGTGTTGTTAGTAATAATGGTATTGGGGTAAAAGCTAATACTTTGGTCCTGGACCACCAGATGGCAGTAATCGTCATGACTTCCAACATATTATTGGTATGTTATAGAGATTGAAATCCATATTATGTTTCCTGAGCCATTTAGCCCTACAGATATATTTTGTTTACCAAAGCTTAAATGGGATGCTGAATTTTTATTTCAGGATTAGTGTTGCCTACAGTATTATTTTAGGGCTTCTGATTGGCTGAGGGAACATCATTACCGCAACGATACGGATTGATGCCACCGGCCTCGGTGGTGTTGTGGATATAGTGCTGGACTGATAATCTGAAGATTCCGGGTTCGAATCCCACCTGTAGCACTATTTTTTTGTATTGGATTTCTTCTTTATCAACAAGTTTGGTTGGTTTGGTATGACGGTTTAATTTTTTAGTTAAAACATTATAAAATTGAATTTGACCCATTTATAGTTTTATTTTATGAACAGAAATATTTTTTCGATTAAACCTTCATTCGATTTTTCATTATCAGCAAGTCTGGTTAGTTTGGTTAGGTTATGATAGTTTAATTTTATAAATAAAAAATTATAAATAGGATATGAGGCATTTATAATTTTATTTTATGAACACAACTATTTTTTCAATTAATAAACCTTCATTAGATTTTTTCATTGTCCACGTTTGGTTGGTTTGGTTCTAGGTTAAATGACGGTTTAGTTTCATAATAAAAAAATATAAAATTGAATTTGAGACATTTATAATTTCATTCTATGAACAAAACTAATTTTTCAATTAGTAGACCTTCATTATAGTCAATCAGAAGCCTCTATGACACTGTTGGCAAAATTAATCCTGAAAAACAAATTGTGCAAATGGGATACAAACCAAGTTTTTTTTTTCATAAATTCACAGGATCAGGTTTGGAGCCATCCCAAACATGAACGCCTGGTGCAGATATTGAAGAATCATTTCTGTCAAGCGGAACAGCAAGGCACTGACACCAAAGTCATTATATTTTGTCAGGTAATCAATAATCATCTATCTATCTTATACCATTTATATAATAACAGATAACTTATCTCTATAACATTCCTTTTTCACCCGCCCTAACCAGTTTATACATTTGAGCTGTCATTTTAAAATTTATGGTAATGATGATACCAAAGGTGTTATTTGTCGACAACAAAATTGATAGATTTTTTATACCAAAACCACTGATACAATTTTTTTTCCTGTATGGATTTTTTAAATATGGAGTTACAAAGCCCTGTATTTTTGGCCTTCCATAAAGTAACTGTGGAGTAGTATTATGAGATGTTTTTAAGTTAAAATTTAAATTAAAGTTAAAAAGTAAAATGAAGATATTTTGAAGATATCATAAAGAAAAATCTGAGATTTTTAACCAAGCCAAACTCGAGGTAATATCATGATCAAATACCACAGTCTTGTAGAGTTCATTAACCACAGCCAGATTGTAAGGAGACAAAACATTTAATAAAAATTAATTTTAATTTTAAATATGCATATTTTATTGATATGGTACTGACTAACGAAATATAAATAAAATGTAAATAATGTAAATATAAATATAATGTAAATATGTAAATATAATGTAAATATTGTACGTGTGATTTGATTGATATGGTATTGACGGGGCTGATTAAGGTTGTGGTAGGTAAATCACTCTTTACTGTATAGAATTATAGATCTATAATAGAAATATTGAGAATTATAATTCATTGTGATAGCCCTGATAGTGCAATAATGATTAAAAATGGGTTGTTACAACACATGTCATTCAGTTCCAGAAGTGGTTTGGCGAGATGCCATCGTCAAACACTTCAGTCCTAGGAATAAATAAAATCAAAGTATTTACTTAATCAAGCAGATTTAATGTATTATTTATTATTGAAACACGTGTTTTGTTTCTAGTACAGAGTAGTGGTCAGTGAGCTGTATGAGCTGTTGCAGAAAACTCATCCTCTCATCAAACCAGTCATGTTCATCGGACAAGGAGTGGGGAAAGACAGGAGTGGCCTGCCTCAAAAGAAACAGATAGAGGTTAGAGGTTGTGTTCACTATCAAGTACGGGTTGGGTTTATTACAAGAGCTGACCAGTGGTTGTGAATGAAAATACTTGAAATATTGTAAAATTATTGCAAATAGAAAAAAAACTTGTTATAAATAGGTCAGTTTGTCATGTCCCATACAATTTAGCGTCTTAGGGGAAAAAAGCGTAAAAAAAGATTGGCATTCAAAAGATATGTAAATATGGTCTACAATGATAAAAGGGCCATTATAATTATTAATGAGTTGAATGATTAGTTACTAAGACAATTCATGCTATAGCCATGATCACCTAAAGGATAAACATCCCCCAATGTAGCAAACCTGCAGACAAAGTCAATTTTCATTGTTTGATTGAAAATAAAAAAAAATTCTTTAAACATGTCTGATTTATTCCCTATCCAAATTCTGTAATATTAGATTCAATGAGTAATTGGAATTGCTGCTACAAGGAAGATATGAAATAAATAAATTTTCTAAATGTTATCCATATATTACCGTATCCAACAAACAAAGAATCTAATAAAATCATAGACCAAGTAAAGTTTAGTATTGAAGCATTCAATTTCTTTGTACCGTTGAAATAGGATCTTTTGATTTTCAGGTGATGAAGGGATTTCGTCAGGGCATCAGCAATGTGCTGATAGCCACGTGTGTAGCTGAGGAAGGACTGGACATCGGCTCAGTGGATCTTCTGGTGATGATGGAGTGTCAGCGGTCACCAGTCAGGCTGGTACAGAGGCTAGGGCGTACAGGACGACACAGGCAAGGGCGCTGTGTGGTGTTGCTGACTTGCGGCAAGGAGGTGCAGGTAGGTCTAACTGTTACATATCAACTGTCAACTGTGTGCTAGCTCAGTAGATCTTCTGGTGATGATGGAGTGTCAGAGGTCACCAGTCAGGCTGGTACAGAGGCTAGGGCGTACAGGACGACACAGGCAAGGGCGCTGTGTGGTGTTGCTGACTTGCGGCAAGGAGGTGCAGGTAGGTCTAACTGTTACATATCAACTGTCAACTGTGTGCTAGCTCAGTAGATCTTCTGGTGATGATGGAGTGTCAGAGGTCACCAGTCAGGCTGGTACAGAGGCTAGGGCGTACAGGACGACACAGGCAAGGGCAGTGTGTGGTGTTGCTGACTTGCGGCAAGGAGGTGCAGGTAGGTCTAACTGTTACATATCAACTGTCAACTGTGTGCTAGCTCAGTAGATCTTCTGGTGATGATGGAGTGTCAGAGGTCACCAGTCAGGCTGGTACAGAGGCTAGGGCGTACAGGACGACACAGGCAAGGGCGCTGTGTGGTGTTGCTGACTTGCGGCAAGGAGGTGCAGGTAGGTCTAACTGTTACATATCAACTGTCAACTGTGTGCTAGCTCAGTAGATCTTCTGGTGATGATGGAGTGTCAGAGGTCACCAGTCAGGCTGGTACAGAGGCTAGGGCGTACAGGACGACACAGGCAAGGGCGGTGTGTGGTGTTGCTGACTTGTGGCAAGGAGGTGCAGGTAGGTCTACCTGTTTCATATCATCTGTCAACTGTGTGCTAGCTATATATTACAGTAGAGTTTTGACCAACCTATTTATTTGTTACTCGCCTTTTGTGCTATCTTACACTTAATCCCGATGATCTGATACTAGGGTATTTTGGTCCTAGATATTTTTGGGTTGGGTGAAATCAACAGTTGGATCAAAATTCATGTTTCTGGTCCCTGGACTATATGGTTAAGACAATAATGAGGTTATCCTGCCACATAGATTAAAGTTTTTTGAAAATAAACCAACCTACACAGGATATACTTTTCTTAAATATATTCCAGAAAACATAAGAAGAGAAAATAATTTAAATAAGTTCAGGAAATTGCTGAAAGAATATTTAATACAACTGGCCCCTTACTCCATAGAAGAATTTTCCACCTCCCAGATATAACCTACTGTAGATATAAATATTTTTGTTATTACTTTTCATTTTTGCTTGGTTAACTGTAAATAGTAGATTTTAATTAGATTTAGTATTGTATTATATATGACGCTATTTACTGTACAAACTATGTACAAAAAAATGAATAAAGAACTATGACTATGACTATGACTAATAGGTTTTGCCCAACCCGCCATGTTAAACTTCCCTATCCCAAGTGTGATGTAAACAACTTGTTTACCTCACTCGGTGAAGTATAGTTTCAAAAACTCACTCGGTGAAGTAATGAAACCCATTCATATGACATTGAGTGCTCAACTTAATAAAATATACCTCTATGAAGCCAACGACGTTCAACGCTAGAAATCAGCTGTGCGCTTGAATGTTATTGTTATGCTTTAAAGTATTTTCCTATCCTAGCTTTTGTTTGTAAAAGAATGTTACTGTTAGAACTAGAAGATAAGTGAAATGGATAATGAAAAATATTGTATGTAACCCCCTGTATATTGTCGGGTCAGGTAAAATCTTGTACGTTACACGTTAAGCAAGAGCGTGCTTAGGTGAATTATGCAACTCGCTTCTGCTCGTTGCACAACATTCACCTGCGTGATGTAAAAACGTTCTTACTACACTTGTAACGTAAATGGCTATTACATACCTCCGTCAAATTGTCTCAACAATCTGATCAAAAGTTTGGTTTGGGCTGCAAATAACTTTTGAACTAAGTGAAAATGAGATAAGTATCAGAGCTTGCTGCGACCGGTTTAGGAATTGAGAATCTACTGTAATTCTTTTACATTACAGTATTTGGCAACTTGGTTACAGTATTGTTTGGTCATGTTCAACTAATTTTCTTTGTGAAAAAAATTATGTATTAATATTGACTTATACATGTATGTATGTTCACAGAAATTTAATGAAGCGATGGCTACAAGAAAGTCTTTCATTTCAATGATTGAAAATTCAAATGTGTTGAAATCTAGTCTCGTTAGAGAAGAGCCACAAATGGTACCTCCACGTAAGTACCTACTGTTTTCTTCATATTTAAATACTGAAAATCGATTATTTCGTTGTATTTTATGAATATTTTGCTGTACTCATATTGGTAATCTTGTTTTTCATGTCTCTTAAACTTAACTCTCATATGCAGCTTATGAGGAAATAATGTTTTTTTTTATTTCATAATGCAGCGTTTGCATGCGTTGCAGCGCAAGTCTAAAGTAGGATTTTTACTCACTAGGAAGTAAAAAGTATTTTTAGCCCTTAAGGAGTAAAAATCATTTTTTGCCCCTAGGTAGTAAAAATCAGCGGTTCAACTCAGTTGTAAATTTTGATTGTAAACAAAATTGCATGTATCGAAAGTAAATAAAGTATATATTGATTGTTTAATAATTATAGTTAATTGTTGCCTTATTATAAATAGTTTGACCTTTTGATGGTATAATGTACACTAACATAGTCGTAATAGAAGAAACAATTGAATCTAACAGTTGAAACTAGTACTTAGTTGCCTTATTATAAATAGTTTGACCTTTTGATGGTAAACACTAACATAGTCGTAATAGAAGAAACAATTGAATCACTAACCAAACAGCTGCTTGTTTCCATTAGCAAATTAAATTGAAAACAAGTTAGAAGTAATTTTGAGAGGTAATTGTAAATGAAAACTATTTTAGTTTTGTAACATAGTTTGTTCAAATAATGGTGCAATGTAATGAGAAATATAGGTAGTTAGTTTATCAAAAAGGGCAGAAAGGGTCTTTTCAACCCTCGCTCATTTTCCGGCGCTTGGGTCGAAAAAGAATAACTTCAAGCCCTAGTGATGAAATATACTATTACTGTTTTCCAGTTGATGCATGAAATAATTTTACATATTACAAAACTAATATTATTTTACCTTTAACTCTGTACATAATTTTCCTTTTTAGACATAATGCCGAAAATGCAATTGGTCCACATCAAGGTCCCTGAACGTATAACGCCTGCTAAGAAGAAGAAGCAGGCTGACATCCGTCAAGCACTCTTAAACAAGATTAATGAATGTGATGAAAAAGACCCTGAAGAATCTCCTTTCCTAGATCCAGACCAACTGGCTGAAGTGGAGAAAGAACTTGGTGTAACCCAAGTCAAGTTTGATTCAGTCACTTTTAAAAATCCGGAATACCTTTTCAAAAGAATCAATGGTGAGTTTATGTTAGACATTTATTAATATTTTCCGTCTTTTAAATAATAAGTTCAAATATATCGATTTTCGTACAAAGATGTATTATTTTACTTTATGAAAATACTTGTAATTAAAGTTTCATACCTTGCAAATGTGTTTGTGCGTTGTTATTTTAAGTTACTATTACTGATGGTTTCATAAAATTAAAAAATGATTGTTTCAGACGCACCAATGCAACCTGATGAACTGTTCAGCGCAACGTTCACTCGACAATCGGAGTACAACGATTGGAACAGAGTTCTGCACCAGACGTACCTCGTGTTGCACTCCTCCGACACGGAGACTCTGTGCCATCTGCTACACAAGTCGGAGTCCATGCTACTCAACAATCACACAGGCATGTCCAGGAAAACCAGGAGTTATAATTGAATTTGTTGTACCAAGAAACAACCACGAATTATGTAGACATTTCTAAATTTCCCCAGGATAATTAATTTTAGTTTGTGGTCATAGCGAGATTAAGAACATCTTCCAGAGTCACAGCAATATCGTGAACTTCTTCCCGTGTTCACAATAAAATCGAGAACAATTTCCGCTGTCACAGCAATTGTGTGAATATTTCCAGTGGTTTTACGGCCACCCTCGTAAACAGTGATAACTTACTTACTGATGTGGCCACTTATACTCCAGTTGGTACTTTGACACATCCTATCCAGGACATTTGGTCCACATCAACTCCCCTCAGAAATTTTAAGCCCTAACTTCATATCCCTCTGAACCTGGCTCTTGCTTTGGGTCTTCCTTCTTGTCTTCCGCCTTCAGCCACAATTCTCGATATATGCTTTTACTATTGAGTTCTCTTCTTTCCTCAAAATGTGTCCAGTGCAACTAAACCTCCGGTTTTTAATCCCTCCCACTATATCTCAATCTTTGTATGGAAGAGAGACTTTTTTGTGGATAGGATAAGCTTTTTTATGATTAAGATTTATCAACGAGAATGACATACCAACATATGCAACACTTTGATCCTAGCAAGCGTTGATAAAGCATTTTTTAAATCACTCAGCCTGCACACTTTTTTGAAATTGGGATACTTTAAAATTTGTTTTATTTACTTTTTTGAAAGAGGCTGAATAACCAGTTACTTTACTGATGTAAGTTACTTTTTCAATTAATAATAAAAGATTATTAACCAACCAGACCAAAATGTATATAAATGGCAATTTGATTGTTTTATTGAAATTATTTCTCATTTTTTTATTTTACAGATCTCAACTCACAGCAGTTGAACTGCAGCAGTTTAATCCCTCAGAAAAAGGAAGCGAAGAAAGGCAAAACCAAAACTGATAATGTAGCGAAGAAAAAGAAAACTGAGAGAGCAGAGAAGCTCGGAAGAGATATACGAGAGTGTATGGCTCAAGCGGCTGACAAGGTGCGACTGACACAGGATAAAATAAGCAGAGAAAATGAGTTTGTAAGCCAAGGAAACACAGCATCTGATATTGTTGAAACTTTCCCTGACCCTGTAGTTCTGGAAATATCAGATACTATGTCAGTAGAGGCTATCAAAGAGAAGAAAAACACAAGCAATCAGGAACTAAAAGAACTCAACTGTGTGTTCTGTGACAAAGCTGTGAAACTTTCAAGGAACTACTTGTTAGCAAAGAAGTCTTCAGTTGATGACAAATTATTGTATGTTAATTTAAGAAAAAGTGAATCATTTGTTAAAAGTAAAAGTTTATCAAAAGAAGCCATCGAAAGCATTAATATTGTTCAAATGTTCAAGGAAGAATCAAATTTGGTAGATAAAATTAAGAATAGTCTGCAACGACTTAGGAACAAAGTGAACAAAATTGGTGAAAAGGCCTCCTCTTCTTTGATTAGTGTGGATGACATTTTTGATACTGAAGTCAACACTTCACCAATATTAGATTCAAATTTGATTCAAAATCGAAGACCATCAGGTGACAATAGACATGAGGCAAAACCAGATGTTGAAGATGAGGATTTTTTCAACCTAGATGATCTTTTTAAAGAGGACGAGGATGTACATTTTCAATATTTAACACAAAGTACAAAAACGTCAACTCCTATTAAAGTAAATGTCACCTTATCTAATGGAGCATTAAATAAAAATAGTAATAACATATCTGTATTTTCAAGGACAGAAAAATCCCAGCATGATGGTGTTCAAAAGAATTCCATGAGTAACATAAACAACCTTCCAGTTGTAAATTCTGATCTTTTCTCCTCTCCTCTGAACTTGAATCCTAGTCAAGGTAAACAAGTGTTCAAAATTCCTCCGATGAAGCTGAAATCAGGACTATTATCAAGCCCACAGAGTGTAACTTGTGTTAATAACTTTTCTACTCCTGTGTCGCCAATTCTATCAAGCCAAAAAACTACAAACCAAAATCATACAATCTCACCTATTTTATCCAGTCAAGTTCCTCCAAGTCACGACTCGCTTTTATCACCAGTCTTGTCAGGACAGGTCAATACAAATAATCACAACTTATCACCAATTTTGTCTAGACAAATTACTTCTACGCCTAAAGTTGAAAGAAAAGTTTTGTTTAAAGACAATTCTAGTAAAGCTGACACCGAAACGTCTGAATTGTGCAAACCTCTGAAACCAGTTGGTAAATATTCAGATGCAGACTTAGCAGAGATAGAAGCTTTAAATATGTTTTCTGCTAGCCAGCTGTTTGATGATTCCAGTGAGGAAGAGAAGGAAGAGAAAGAAGAAAATTTAGATCAGTCGTCCATGTACACAATCAGCCAAATGGTTGCCAAAGTTTCCTCTTTAGCAGAAAAAATGAAAAACTCTGCAACAACAGTAGAAATTAGTAATCACAATCAAAAACAAGCTACAGGCTCTTCAAACGCAGGTTTTGATGACAGTGATGATGATTTTATATTTGATCAAATCAATTTAGATAACTTCTCTTGTCAGAACCTTTCCACCAAAGAACAGTTGAACAACAAAAGTAAAGATGGTGATTCCTTTAAAATTACAATGCGCAGTTCAAGTAAGCAAAATTTGAGCGATTCTTTAGCAATTGAAAAGAATGAAATTGAAAAAATAAAGCAGTTGAAAAATACAAATATATCACAATGTCTAACCAATATGTCTACTGAAGATGTGTTGAGCTCAAAACAGCCCGAGAAAGACTTTTCTCAGAAAAATGACGAGTCGTTTATTTCTTCAAGATGGTTAACATGTATGAAAACTCCATTGAAAACCAACCAGTCCAAATCAAAATCAGTCTCATTTGCTTCCGAAACTAAACACTTTTCTTGTGATTCAGATTCTGATAGTGATGTGTTTGAAAGATCAACAACTAAAAATAAACCCAAAGTAACAAATGTTATGCCTAAACAGAGAAAAGGAAAATCTGCAAAACTGGTAAGTGTTCTGAACTTTTAAAAATATTTATACTCAATTACCTTTATTAGATAGTTAGCTGTTGTCTCATTTATCTTGTTTGTTGTTCAAGAGCTTCAATGTCGCTGATCTTTTGTAGGATGTTTCAAAGGTATTTTAACTGGTTTCGATCCTGAACTGTTGAAATATATTTTTTCCTACAGTTACCTAACAATGTACATGTTCTCTCACTGATTTGAGAAAGCAAAGTGGCCAATTCGCTCATCAGTGAGACAATGTTGAATGTTAACATTGTCTCACTCTAATTACGTTGTCTCACTCACTCCAGATTTGCAACGTGAAGGCACGAAATAGTGAGCGCGTTCAACATGCAGACAAGGTCGTATGGGCCCAAAATACGTTGGTAGCATTGGCTGTAAATCAGCTCAGCTGATCAGTTGTTGTACTGTTGTATCATTAAATGTAATATTAAAAGTTCACTTCTGTGTAAAAATATGTCACGTTTCTTTACCAATTTATTTGTTTTATGGTAACTGTAGAAAAAATATAATGTGCAACTCGAGTGCAAAGTGCAACTGCCTCACTCGAGAAACCATTCCTCACTCGCCTATGGCTCGAGAGTAAGAATTTCTCTCAGTGAGTCAATTGCTCCCTTTGCTCACTAGTTGCACAAATAACTATTTATCTTTCGCCTCATTCTATTCTAATTGATCTAAGTAGCATTATTAGTCATTACATTTTAATTCTAGTTAATATTTCAAATTTCTACATAATTTAAAAATAAATTCATAGTAAACTTGTCTTAGATATTAATGACTAAATTATAAGTAGATATAAAACTTGGCTACTCTGTTTAAAAATACTGTACACATTTAAATCAATCTTATGAGATAAGGAAATGAACACTAGTACAGTACTAAAGATTTCTTTACAAAACTTGGATCAGTGTGGAAATAAGACATTTTTTAAAGCCAAGTACAGGGTGCGGCAAAAAAAACCCATCTATTTTATGTAGCGCACTGTTCAGCAACAGGTCGTCTGAGAGTAGTGGGGTTATGCTCATTGGAAAGCCTACGCAATGCCATTATCTGTGGTCATAGAGAAGAGGTCACCTGAACATGGTGCGTTTGTTATCGAGTTGAATTTAAAAACGCGTTTATTCAGTGTTTTTATTCAGTCATTGCAACTCAGCGGCAGTTCCGTGTATTTTTTTTTGCGCGAAGTCGATTCCGTAAGTGGCACAATCAAGGTGTGTTACAAACTTTAGAACAATAGCTTCTGCGTTAAAAAAAAGCTGACAAGCTGTCCAAAGTCAGATCGGACGTCAGACAACTAACATTCGATATAGTCCGTGCTGCTGTGGATAACAGTCCTCGTAGGCACACCCGAAAACAAACATCTGCTTTAAACATGTCTGACCGCTCGGTTGAACTAGTTTTGAGGTTCGATCTTAATTCTTATCCCAATGTGTATTAATCTGTTCAATTTTGTTAATCATCCATACAGATAATCGCACCGGAACCTCTCCATATCGACCTAATTTAAAGAATGAATGGAAATGCCGCTGAGTTGCAATGACTGAATCATCACTTTTTAAAATGACTTGATAACAAACGTGCGTTGCTCAGGTGACCACTGCTCTATGACTACAGAATATATTATGAAAATGGCATCGACTAGACTTTCCTAAGAGCCTTTAGACGACCTGTCGCTGAACAGTGTCCTGCGAAAAATAGATCGTTTTTTTTGCTGCACACTCTGTATAATGAAACTACGCTTTTACATTATATGTATAGTTTATCTGCATTAGCTTTGTTTCACATGCAATCCAAGGAGTATGAAATACATCCAACATTTCGGTAAGACAACATTATATACAAAAACTATTTCTTTGTAAGTTGACAGGGGGAAATGTTGTTAAATACAAATTAATGTCAAAAAGATTATCTGAATTTTTGTTAGTTTTAGAAATGTAATAAAGGGGCTGTACACGATTCTTCCGATACAAATGTCTGTTAAATTGGGGTAATATTACTGTAATTGGTCGTCAATAGGTTTAGTTAATTATTTGTTGATACATGAACACGAGAGGCTACAGTAAAACTTAGCCGTTGCCAACATAAATTTTTTAACTAGATTCTGATATTTAATATTTTTTTTGCAGTTTTGTACCATTGATTTCATTTCATTTCACTAATATTTTGTTGATAGGTTATCGTCTTTTTCTTATAATTTTGCAAAAAGTAAATTTGCTGGGAAACCCTCAGTTGATGCTCAGGCCCGGCTTATTCAGGCCCATGTCGGCTTATTCTGTAAACCATTGTACTAATTTAGTTAAATATAAATTTGATGTTTTAATCTTATGTATTTTTTTTTATCAAGTAAGATTTGTAGGTACATGTTTTGTAACTGTAACTATACTGCTCGACTAAAGATTTATTCTGCAGTCTGTTACCTCAGCAATGCGTTTCTTAAACTTGAATTATAAGTATTTGCTGTAATTGATGAAGACAACTACCAGGTTTCAAATTTCTGTCATATTTATAATTCAGAGGAAAATTAGATAAAACTGGACACACAGAGTAATTACTCCCAGTTCTCTACGCCATTTCTCTCATAGTATTGTATGTCTGTACAATAACGCTTATTTTCTATGGTTAAAGGGAGCTAGAGCTCAATTCCTGGAGTTGGAAGCAGACGTTAGCATGACTGGAGGAGTGAGGTGCTCTAGTGATGAAGAGAACACGAGTGGACTTGACGACTTAGACGCGAGCTTCATCAACGACATGACAGAGGTTGTGAGCACGTCGGTTGATCAGACCACCATCGACATTCAAGCCAAGTATCTTGAATCTGTCAAGTGAGTTAAACTTGAAAACCTTTTAAAGCTATGCTCCTGTGTTTTGTGGGTATTATGATTATGTCACATATTTTTTGTGTGTGTTTATCTACGCCTGTGGCATTCATTTACGTTTTTAAAGTAGGTAACGGTTCAATCCCTGCTCTTGTTACTTTACTATCTAACATAGACTTTTTGTTAGATAGCATCGATCAATTGATAACACGACAAATGGCATCTGGTCTGGAAACAATCTCGCTTAGAATAAAACCAACGACCATTAGATTTGAAGGCGAGCACTTTAACCACTTGGCTACACACACAGACAATTGGGAATAGTTTGCTACTTAACTCATTTAGGGAATTGGGTACTTTCCTGTTAAAGGGAACATTCATTATTATCGATGATTTTTTTCTCGATATATCGATGTTTTTGTTTTCCGATCCATTACAAATTGACAACAACTAACTGATCTTGTTTAGGCTAAAATAGTCTAATGGATTAAGAAATGAAACTGTTCTAAGCTAATCTAACATAACCAACCAAACTTGCTGTACCATTTAAAAATTCCATTTGGGTTTGAATATAAAAGGCAAGTTATAAACACAGAATTTTTAAATGTTACAGCAAGTTTGGTTAGTTATGTTAGGTTATTTTTTTAGAACAGTTTCATTTCATTAATGTTTGTTGATACTGAACAATATTTTTCGTAGTTGTCAGCTGATATGTTTCAATTTGTTAATATCGATATATCGAGAAAAAATCATCGATAGAATGTTCCCTTTAACAGGAAAGTACCGGGAATTGCTTTTTAGCTGTAGAGTGCACACTAGAGTGCTGTAGTTTGTGCTGTATGAGGGTGTTTTTTTAAGTAAGAAGTAATATGCGTATAAATCCGTATTTCGCTAGTACGTCGTGTTGAGGGCAGTGAGCTAGTTTAGTGGTGGAGCGCGGGGCTTAAAATACTGCCCTCATATTTGTTGAACTAATACAATGACAATTGGAAGTTTTATCATTAATTATATTTTTAGGATTCCATCCCTAATTTAGTAAGATTTTTTTGCAGTTTTGTTTGCAGAGTTATAATATCAAATAAATAAATGGTACACACAATACTTGATTTAGTTCTTTGCAAGAGTACTTCACTTCAATGTTTACTGTGTGAACCGGCATTTCTGATTCCAAATCTTTTTTCCTATTTTCATAATTTGTTATTAATGTTATTTTAACTATTTTTAGAAGTCCAATGAAAAGACCCGGTTTCAAAATACCGGCCATGACTGATTCCATCTTGGAAAGAGATGTTTATTCACAAGCTGTTCCTGAATATGACGATGATTCATATGAAAATGTAAGTTATTTTAGTTTTGTACATACAAAATAATGTAATGAAACATTGGCATGAATTTCTGTGTTATGAATGATAATGATATGAATGTTTGATGATAATGAAACTGTGATTAGTGTTGGCACGAAATCTCGTGGTTATTCTCGGTCAGCAGTCATCAATTGTGATACAAAGTGGAATTTTTCATTTTAATGAGTTTGCAAAACTTATCAACATTTTTATTTATTCACTTTGAATGTTACCTGAACCTGAACGAAACTACAATTTTGAGGCAAAGTTTGTTGTAATTGAATTGTAATGTTCAGGAAATGTTAAGTATAAAGACAAATCTTATATTTAGAAGTTTAGTTATCAAGTTGTTTTTTATTGTTTCTTAGTCATCATTTCAATAATTTTTTGTTATTTTGTACTGCTGAAGTAATATCTTTTAGACATAGTGTCTTTGTTAAAAGTCAAAAATGGAAAGAGAAATAGACTAGATAATGAGCAGAAAATAATTTAATTATTCACAAAAGAAAAGTTACTCAATCATAGTAAAATCCTACCAAAACTATTATTTTGGTAATAACAACATTACAATTCATTCAAAAATCATATGTGTTAAAATTATTAAAGTTCATTTTCATAGCAGCTGGAAAAAGACAAAATATAATATAAACCATAGATTATTTAAATGAAATGTTTGAATACTATATCCAACATTCTCCCACCTTTTGACTTGCAAAGTCAAAATATTAATTATTAATTCAGGTATCTTTGTGGGGGTATAATTTTTCTTCCTCTTAACTATGGAAAGCGTCTTTCTGAATAAGTTTAAACACTTTATTTTGAGCCTTAATCAATTCATCAACCGACAATCCTCCTGATATCTTTTGTTTAGACATATTTGTGTTACAACAAAATCTCAAAATCCAGCCTACCAACCTGACGATTTTATCAAATCTGGAGAAATATCTGTAATACCAACAATCTGGTTCAGGGTTTGAATTAATCATAATCTTTATAGTTGATTTGATCTTCCTAAGTTCAGAATTTACTTCTTTCTCATCACAATCATCACTGAAGTTTTGGTTAGGCCACAAGTTTGATGAGTTTCTTAGCCATTGTGGTCCCTCCCACCATTTCGACTCCACTAGCTGCTTAGGAGAACATCCACGTGACGGCAAATCAGCTGGATTCATATGGCCTGGAACATGATTCCAAGATTCAATGTTACTAAGGGATCTTATTTCCTTTACTCGGTTCCAAACAAACACTCCCCAGTAATCTTCTCGACGAATCCATGACAAAACGGTGGTTGAGTCGGTCCAATAAAATGTTTTGACATTTTCAAATCCCAAACTCTTTAAGACGTTGTCAGTTAGACGAGCGCCAATGGTAGCCGCCAATAACTCCAGTCGTGGAATAGTCATCTTCTTGACAGGTGTAACTCTACTCTTCGCTTGAACTAATTGAACTGTGGTATGTCCATTAGATTCACCCCTCAGGAAAACCGCGGCCGCATAAGCGTCCTGGCTTGCATCACAAAAACAGTGAACTGTCCAAGAAATATTCCCTCCGATTTCATTTCCAAAATATCTTGGAATTTTCAAATTTGAAAAAATCTCAAGTTGCTTCGCCCAATCTAAAAACAATAGTGTTATCTCTTCTGAAACCTTGTCATCCCATCCAATTTTACTTTCCCACGTTTTCTGCAGCAATATCTTAGGCGTGAGTGTAGCAGGACAAGTTATACCTATGGGGTCAAACAACTTGTGTGCAAAAGACAAAATAGATCTCTTTGCGACTATTTCAGGCTCTTTAAACTCAAAGTTTTCAAAATTCAACTCAATCATGTCAGTATTTTTGTTCCAATTCAAACCTAAGATAGGTATCAAGGTAGAATCATTTTTGAAACTCTGAATTTCTGTGTACTCCCAACTCCGAAGACAGAATCTAGCATCTTTCATTACAGAAGTCGCTTGATCTACAAATTGATTCAAATCTGAAAAGTCATCAAAACTTGCCATACAGTTATCTACATAGAAACTTCTCGACAGTGTCTCTACTACTTTTCTTGAGTAGTTTAACGATCCAGAATCTATCAAGTCTAATGTTTTTTCTAAATGAAGTTTTATTACTGCACTTAGCATAAATGGGCTACAGGTAACTCCAAAGACCACTCTAGCATGTCTGTAAACAACCAATTGGCCCTCTTCATTAATCCACAAAAAACGAAGAAAATCTCTATCATTCATATGTACACCAATCTGAAGAAAAGCCTTCTCGATGTCAGCAACAACTCCATATCTGTGTAGTCTAAAACGATTTAATATGGACGGAATCAATTCAATTAGGTTGTCACCTTTTTCTAGACAATCGTTCAACGAGGGCTGATTCTTTTCTTTAGCAGATGCATCAAATACAGGTCTCAATTTCGTGGTAGGACTGTTTTCTTTTATCACATGTTGATGCGGTAGGTAGTGACCAATTTCCAAATCAGCATCGTTAACCTTCTCTATGATACCTAATTCCTCCCAGTCAGACAACACCTGTTGATATGAACTAAGATATCCACTAGAAATAAGTTTATTTGTAAGATTACCGAGTCTTTTCTGTGCTACTTTCAAATTAGTAGGTAACGGCGGGTGATCTTCAACCCATGGCAATTTGACCTGATATCTGCCATCATTTTCCACTGAAACAGATTCTACAAAATGTTCCATTGTTCTACTTTTAACTGAAAAAGATTCACTCTTTACCTCCACTGGATCCTTGATTCCTAAAACATCCAAACTCCACAAATCTGAAATGGATTTATTATCAATAGGGTACAGTAAAGAAGTTACTGCCATAAAACTGGACCTGTCATTCCCTTCAACTGTAGTTCTTCCCATTAAAGTCCAGCCCAACAAAGTGTGCATCGCAACTAACCCGTTGGAAAGCAGATATCGTTTCTCAGTGTAAAGTTTCCCTGCAACGTCTGCACCTATCAGAACTTCAATAGGCCCGTCTCCATCTGTTACATTAATTCCCAGTGTTCCAAGCTCAATGGACCAAGGACCAGTTTAACTGTTGTAACATCGTTACAAATTATATCTTGATCAAGAACGTAAAAATTGCAGGCATAACTGTTATTTAAGTCACTTAGTCTAACCTTATAACACTCATGTTCAATTTTTTCAGTACTAGTACCACCAAATAAAGTATGAACTAGCTTCTCCTTTCTGACTATGTCATAGCCAAATTCCTTTGCTGTATTTTTCAAAATATAAGATCGTTGTGATCCCGTATCTATTAAAGCACGTGCTGTTCGCTCTTGATTTTGGTTTCTAATTTTTACTAGAAAGGTTTGTAAAAACACTTCTGTGTGAACATTGTTTGCTAGAGAACTTTCTTTGACTGGTTGTTCACTCAATGAACTTCCTTCTGCAGCAGATGCCCTACACATAACAGCAGTGTGCCTCCTTCCACAATTGGGACATTTTATTCTAACTTTACATTGCGCACTCCTATGACCATACTTCAAGCAAGTAAAGCAACAACCATTTTTTCCAACGATTTTCACCTTCTCATCTACTGTCAATTTACTGTCTTTACAGTTTTCAGCTAAGTGGTTAGAACCACAAAACATACATTTAGCGTCTTTAGTATTTAAATTATAAGACTTTGTTGGGTTAACTAAACCAGCAGCTGTTGTCATCATTTCAGTATGTCTGGCGTAACTAGGCTTAGGTTGAAATACAGTAGATTTACTTACTTTAGGCTGTAGGTTAGGTCGCTTACTATTTTCAAAACCAGATGCAGCTAGGGTAATCCTTTCCTCGTTAGCAACCTCCTTTTGCAGAAACTTCATCAAACCATCAAGTCTATCCTTAAGTTCAGCATCAACTTCATAGCCAGAGTGACGCTGCCAAGCTCTCAACAGTTCCTCGGGCAAACAAGACTCTATAAGAGGATATAACATAGCAGAACATTTTGTCAGTTGTTACTCCTAATGTCTCCAATGCTCTTAGCTGGGTTTCCAGTTTATCTTAAATGAAAGAAACTTCTACCTTACTGTTTAAATTACTCAGCACTAACTTCAAAAGCTCTCTAATATACACTTCTATGAGAAGGTCATCTCTACCAAAACGACTTTTAAGACTTTGCAAAGCTTTTGAATAGTTCTCAGCGGTAGCAGGATAACTTTCGACCAGCTGACGAGCCCTAGAATTAGCTAAAGTAGCCTGCACAAGATAATGATATTTATCAATATCGTCAATATTCTCGTCATCATCTATTCTTTTGAATTGTGCCCAAAAAGGTAGCCAATCCTTCAAATCCCCGCTAAACTTTGTGAATTCAATAGTAGGTAGCCTCAGCTTGGTCCTAACAGCAGTAGATTTACTCATTACAGACCCATTGGAATTAGGTGAAGTATCCCTAGACCTAATCAATCTACTCTGTACAGCTAAACTAATTCGATTAAACTTCTCTACATATTCATCTGCTAGCCTAGCTTCTTCATTTAACTCTTCTTCATCTGCTTCAGAATCAAGCAAGAAATCTAAAATTTCCCTGTCCAAAGTTTTTAGTTCTTCTATCTTACCTTCCAGAGAGCTCAATTTACCCTGTATATTGTGTAGGTCTTGCTCATCTTTGCATAGCTCCTCGTTTATCCCATTATAAATTCTGGTAAATGCTGTTCTGAAGGTTTTTCTTAGTTTCCTATTTCTTTCCATTATCTCAATAGTGACTATCTGGTTAAGAACTCATACAGTCCTGTCACGGTCGCCAAATGTTAAAAGTCAAAAATGGAAAGAGAAATAGACTAGATAATGAGCAGAAAATAATTTAATTATTCACAAAAGAAAAGTTACTCAATCATAGTAAAATGCTACCAAAACTATTATTTCGGTAATAACAACATTACAATTCATTCAAAAATCATATGTGTTAAAATTATTAAAGTTCATTTTCATAGCAGCTGGAAAAAGACAAAATACAATATAAACCATAGATTATTTAAATGAAATGATTGAATACTATATCCAACAGTCTTCTTTAAACTCGATGAAATATACAGAGCTTCAACATTTTCCTCTTGTTTTAAAGTTTTTTTTTTTGCTCACTACCATAACTAACTATTTTGCATGTTGATCATATTTTCTGTTAATAGTTTTTTTAAAGGTGGTTTTCTAGAATTTCACACTAAGAAATGCACTCTAAATTATGCCATAGAAGTATCATGTATATTAATCGTTTAATCCCTACTAGATTATTGCTTTCAAATTACTAAAAAAAAATTAATATAACAAATCTTAAGTCTCATTTCGACTAAACTCTTTGCTAGGACTCTTTTTGCTGTGACGCAAGCCAAATCCCCATCGAAGATGAACCTTCTGAGCTCGAAATAGCTGAAAGATTGCTGAAGCAAAAGAGAAAGACAAAGAAAAGAAAACGAAAACCTCGAAAGTCCGAATCAAGTAGTGATGATCCTAACAAGAGTATTAGCAACGTACTGAAGAAGAAAAGACTCCTTTCATCTAGTTCTAGCAGTGAGGATGTTGCTTGGAGTTGTGAAAGAAATAAAAAAAGGAAACATGTTTCTTCTCCAGAGTCCAGTCCTATAAAGGCACACTCCAAGAAAAGACATAAGAAAAATAGAAAGGTTCAGTTATTGACGTCTTCAGATAGTGACAGTGATAAAACAATATTGTAGTTTAGTTTGTAAATTGTAGCTGTAAATTTGTTATATCTGTATTTTTGTATTTTTGTAAAATGGAAATGTTAATACTTTTGTACAATATAATTTGTTAATATGTTTAGTTTTTACACACTGTTATATATTTATAAAGTTACATACCGTTTCAATCATATCTTTGGTTATTTAGAGTACATTGTTTCTGAGTAGACGTTCCCCAAAAAAGAATAAATTTGTATTGCGTCAATTCAACCTTGTCTTTGCAGGATCAAAATTCATGAAAATTAAAACTGGTAGTGGCAGCGAATTTGCAGATTTTAAGCTGCTTTTGAGTTAATTCAACCTGTTATGTATATATTCCAAATATTAAAGTTGTGGACCAAAGATAAATTAATTTATGCTCTTAAGAGTCGGCAAGACCGCCAGCCATCTTGGATTGTCTGCCCATAACAGCAATGTTAATGGTTGAAGTTTAAGCATATTACGGTATTGTTTATTAAGTCAGGGTGTCTAGTTTATTTCCATTATAAAATTCAAGACTAACTCCAGACTTTTCAAGACTAATTCCAGATTTTTCAAGACTAGTTTTTCCACAATTAGTGGGTGTTGATACCAAAATGTATCGATTCTCGATTCTTGATACCGATACCGATTTTTATAGCTTAACCGAATTTTCTAAATAATACTAGGCCTACACCAAACCCTGTCTTTGTCATAAAGTAGTATTATGATAATGTGGTGTTTTCAAGTAAAGAAATAATGCAGCAATAAAAAATTCTAACTAGCAAATTTGTTTTTTTTTATCATGAAATCTTCCGCGTACCGTACGTTTAGACATCATCATTGACTGCAGCAGTTACAGAAACGTGATCGTCGTCGTCCGCGATCACGGCAAAATCATGAACATTTCCCGCGGCCGTGTAGACATTATCGTCGTCTCCCGCGGTAACAAAAACGTCATCGTCGTCGTCCGCAATCGCGGCAAAATCATGAACATTTCTTGCAGCCGTGTAGACCCGCGGTCACGAAAACGTCATCGTCATCTCCCGCGGTCACGGAAACGTTATCGTCGTCGTCCGCGATCACGGCAAAATCATGAACATTTCCCGGGGCCGTGTAGACCCGCGGTCACGAAAACGTCATCGTCATCTCCTGCGGTCACGGAAACGTCATCGTCATTTCCCGCGGTCAAGGAAACGTCATCATCATTTCCCGCGGTCACGGAAACGTCATCATCATCTCCCGCCGTCACGGAAACGTTATCGTCGACGTCCGCAATCACGGCAAAATCATGAACATTTCCCGGGGCCGTGTAGACCCGCGGTCACGATAACGTCATCGTCATCTCCCGCGGTCACGGAAACGTCATCGTCATCTCCTGCGGTCACGGAAACGTTATCGTCGACGTCCGCAATCACGGCAAAATCATGAACATTTCCCGCGGCCGTGTAAACACCATCGTCGTCTCCCGTGGTCACGGAAACGTCATCGTCGTCGTCCGCGATCGCGACAAAATCATGAACATTTCCCGCGGCCGAGCAGATATCATCGTGGTCTCCCGCGGTCACGGAAACGTCATTGTCGTCTCCCACGGTCACGGTAACGTTATCGTCGTCTTTAGCGGTCACGGAAAGGTCATCGTCGTCTCCCGTGGTTTCGGAAACGTCATCGTCGTCGTCCAATATCGCGGCAAAATCATGAACATATCCCGCGGCCGTGTAGACATCATCGTCGTCTTCCGCGGTCACGGAAACGTCATCGTCGTCGTCCGGGATCGCGTCAAAATCATGAACATTTCCCGCGGCTGTTTAGACATCACCATCACCTCCCGCGGTCACGGAAACTTCATTGTCTTCTCCCGCGGTCACGGAAAGGTCATCGTCGTCTCCCGTGGTTTCGGAAACGTCATCGTCGTCGTCCACTATCGCGGCAAAATTCTGAACATTTCCCGAGGCCGTGAGGACAATCATCATTGGCTTTCGCGGTTACGTAAACGGAAGACGACAATCGCGGTACAACCATAAAAATTCCCGACTTTGAAATCAAATTTAAGACTAAATCCCGACTTTTCAAGACCATTTTGAAATTCAATACTAATTCCCGACTTTCCCGACTACTAGACACCCTGTAAGATAAAAAGTTGCAAAATATCTAATTTTAAAGCTATTGAAGCATGTGATTTGCTATATACTTTTTTCATATTTTAATTATTATTATTTCGTCAAACTACATAAATATATTGACTCAAACAGTGATTTTTTTCAACCTCTAAAACAAAAGTTCTTAAAATCCGAAAAGCAGTTCACACGGAAAATATATTTAAGAATCACATAATATTTTGTTCTCGGTAATCAAATTTACAGCGCATGATTAATATGCTTCAACGTGAACGCATGTTTTTGCTGATCTGCGCTAGGACAACCAATGTTTAGCCTCGCATCTGACAGTCAACCACTATGCAAAAGCATTGACTACTGCTGATTCTATTAATTTATGTTAGAATATTGCATCCCAGACATACTTCAATCGCTCAGGGATTTTAAATTTATTTTCAAACTCATTTTAATGCAAGACATAATAAATAGTACCTTATTTCAATAGTGATGTTTGGCTCGGAATCCAGATTGTTTGATGGCTGGCTTTAAGCTGTTGTGAATAACCTCTACAAATCTGGTAAAAAATATTTCAAGGGACTATCAAGGTGATTTGAAGGCAAAGTAGTGCATTCAAATCGTCTCCCCTCAATTTTTAATTCAAACCAGATGGTTACGACATAGATAAAACATATAATACTCCCTTAGTAGATTTCTCATCCTATTGAACAGCTGAAGCCAATTTTATTGTTGGTTCTGTACGGTGAACTGAGAGGTTGTGTTTTTTTTACAATTTGTTTCTTGTTATTTCAGTCATTTAAAACCTTGTTTAACCAAATAATACTATCTAATCATAAACAATAACTCATCCCCTAGTTATATAACCAAACAGTATAGCTCGAATAATGAAATGTACCTTAAAATAATAGAAACAGAATTTTGTCATCACTAGTGCCTATTGTCACCGTACATGAACTAGATATTCAAAATTTACAACGGTATGAGAAGTCTACTTGAGGTTGGTTAGTCTATGGTTAAGAGTACCAAATTAATAAAAAAAATACACCTTCTATAAAAAAGTTCTTTTATTCAATATTAATTTGGCAGTGACATTTACTCACTCCGCAATAAAGAGATCTCATTAATAACTTCAATAAACATGTAAAGTTAATACAAATAAAAACTTCACAAAGATACAATCTACAAACTATGGGCAGTATCACAATAAATGTAGAACAGAATATGTTTACACAATAACATACTGTAAAGAAAATCTACTCTGCTAGTGTATTGGAGCCGTTGAACAATTCAAGAAGTACAACCCCTAAATATTTTGCATCTGTAATGCAAAAAAAAAATCCACAAACACTGCAAAGAGAGCTACAGACAATTACCTAGTCGACTTGTGTAAAAAAAATCTATGCTACAATTAACACAACAAACCATAAACACAACCAAGATCAACTTAGTTTTATTATACTGAAATAATGTTATACATCTATCCATACCAATTTCATTTTAACATAGTTTTTTAAAATCTGGGATTCAGCTTCACAAAATATAATATTTTATTGAAAATAAAAATGTTTGTCTTTGATATAATAAAAAAATAACTACAGTATGTTTATAAGTTTTTCAAAAAATCATTACGTGGTTTTTTTTATGGAATTGTTCAATTCAGGCACATGAAAAGTCTGTAAAAATATTGCTAAATGTCTTGAGTAAGGCCTTTCAGTACTGATTCCAAATGTTTCACAATGAAAGTGTGTTACTTTTAAATATCTTTTCTGGCAAACAGCTATTTCTAAATATGTTTCATCGTCAAATTTTTATTTAATTTGGAATCTTAACACACGTAGCGTCCTGCGCATGCGCATGTCCCGGGTCCGAGCCATCCAACCTCGTTAAACAAAAGCAGCCAGTATGAGTCTAGTGTTTGACGGAGAATGTTACTACTTGCTGGTCTGTAAATACAATAGAAATCTGTTTTTGCCGCGCTCCTCGTGTTTGGACTTTTTTATGTATTTAAAGGAGTTAACAACACCAAAATGGGCTCAGTAAATTCAAAGTACCCAGATGTTCTGATTGTGCTTTAGAATATTTGTTCTTTTCTTTAATTCTGTTTATTAATAATGCCTAAAAAATTGAGTACATCAAACACCATCTCCTTCCAATTGGCAATACAATTGGACCGGCTACGTTCTAAGCAGTGCTGCTATCTGTGGGTGTTTAGCGAACTACATCAACTCTTGTTATAAAGCAGGACATCACCGCACGTTATTTGCTATTCGTCATACCGAAATATGAAAGCCAATCACCTGGCAATCGGGTTTGTATGACGCTGCGGGCTGCGCCGCACTGGGGCTACGCCTGCCATTTCATGGGCCGCAGTGAATGTGTTAATGAATGATTATGATACAAATAGTAATTATAGTAATTACCACTCAAATGAATAAAAAAAAAATAAAAAAGATGTCCAAATTAGAACCAAAGCCCAGATGTCATCCTAGAAAAATGTCTTTCTCTAACAATAAAAGGTAACTAACTATCACTATCATCTTATGTACAACTTAATAAATTTTTCTGAGATGTGTTTGTGAATGTACTGTATCTTTAAAGCAAACCTTACCTTTTACTTGCCAACTATCAATTCTTTATAAAAATATTCAAAGTAGAAATATCGCCAAATCAAACTTATAAAAACTATAATTACTTCACAACTTAACTCAATGGTAACAAATATAATTTCAATCTGTATAAAGCAATGAGTGCATTACAGAATACAGAGTGTAGTGAAGTTTGCATGAAAATAAGAGCAAGAGAGAACGATTGGTCGTTAACATATAGTCTTAATCTCTTAATCTAAGTGAAACACTCGCTTCTGAAGCGGATATTTAATGTTGAGCCCCCATCAGTGTCAAATGTTTTTGATGGTTACGTTGCCCGACGCCACTATTGGCAGACCTCGCTCCACGAGGGGCAATCCTCGCTCAATGTTGAAACATTCCAGCATGGCCGCACCCACTGAGCTACGCCTGGAAAACATATGTTAGTGAGA